AACTTACTTCACTGAGCATAATATCCCATCTAACTCCATCCATGTTGCCGAAAATGGCATTACATTATCTTTTTTTGACTGAGTAGTATTCCATTGTGCATATGTATCATATTTTCTTGATCCAGTCATCTATTTTTATACATTTGGATTACTTCCAAGTCTTAACTATTATAAGAAGTGCTGCAATAAACATAACATGTGTCCTTTTGAATTAATGTTTTTGTGTCATGTAGGTGGATTCCTAGGAGTAGAGTTATTGGCTCCTATGGCATACCCATTTTAAGTAATCTGGAACCTCCATAGTAGTTGGGCCAGTCCTCATCCCTACCAGCAGTGTAGGAGAGTTCCTTTTTTGCCACATCCTCACCAATATTTGTTGTTGTTAGTTTTTTAAATGTGGGCCATTCTTACTGGTGTAAAGTGGTATCACATTGTGGTTTTCATTTGCATTTCCTTGATTATGAGGGATGTTGATCATTTTTTCTTATGTCTGTTGGCCATTTGCATGTCATCTTTGGAGAAGTTGAGTTCTTTTGAGTTCTATTGCCCACTTTTTGACTGGATTATTTACTTTGTTTTTTCTCGAGTAATATGAGTTTTTTTATATATCTTTGTGATCAATTCCCTATCAGTGTGAAGTGCAGTTTTTTTTTTTCCCAATCAGTAGGGTGTCTCTTTGTTTTGGTTAATGTCTCTTTTGCTGTACAGAAGCTTTTTAATTTGATGTAGTGCCAGCTGTTTATCATTTCCCTCATTTTCTTTGCTGTGGAGGATGAGTCTTTAAAGATGTTACTGAGATGCAACTTGTGTAGTGTTTTACATATATTTTTTTCTATATATTTCATGGTTTCAGGTTTTATGTTCAGTTCTTTTATCCATTTTGAGTTGATTTTTGTTTACAGTGTGAGATAATAGTCTAATTTCATTCTTTGCATGTGGTGGTCCAGTTTGCCCAGCTTCCGTAGTAACCTTTGGATGAATCTTCTTGTGTCCTTTTTTTGTCTCCTGACAATCCATTTTCTATATCTGCTATTAGAGAAATTTTTAGCTCATTCACATGTGCCATCATTTATGAACAGGATTACCTAGCATTTCTTTCTTATCTACAGAAAGGCTGTTGCAGCAGGGCTTAAGGCCTCTCCTCCCCATCCTTCTTCATCTCCTGAGCTCCTTTCCCTATCCTTGCACATCCCAGCAGTTAACCAGCATCTCCAGAATGTCAGGTATTTGTGTGTTGATGTTTCTGATGTTTCTGCTCATGCTTTTTTCCCTTCTCCCCTGTTCTGTTTCCTGTCTTCTCAGTTTACTCTTCCTTCAATGAGTTAGTTGTATATGGACCTTTCTTGCAGCAAATTGCAAAATCTTCAGGAGAATTTCATCTCTTTATCTAGTGTTTGATCTACAGAAAATGTCAATTATTTAAATGAATTTTCTCAAGTTCTCTGACATCCTCCTTGAAAGCATAGCTTATATAGAAGTCAAAATTCCTGTAACCTCAACCTTAACACAGCCACAAATCTGAAATCAGATTTTAAAAATAGATATAGAGGCCCTCCCTGGTGGCGCAGCGGGTTAAAGCACTGAGAAGCTAAAGCCACTTCCACATGAGCTCGATCCCCTCCTGCCCCGGAGGTGACCACATGGCGCGGCAGACCTCTCCTGCCCGCTGCTCCCCTCGGCAGTGTACTTCATCAATCTGCCTGTTCTGCTCCCCACTCTGTCTCTGGTGAAGCCTCTCACCGCCCCTGAGTTCTCTGGCCTGTACCCTAATTCTGTATGTACAAATAAATAAATCTTTAAAAAAAAAGATATAGAAATACTAGAAAAAGTTATAAACTAAAGCCATGCTCTGTCTCTCCCAAAATAGTTTCAGGCTTTCTCTTAATATCTATTCTTATTTAGTGTAATACTTTATAAGATTGTCTAATTGCTTTTCCGATTCTGAATAGATTTAAAAAACTTAAAGTCGCAATAAAAGAACATATTCCCATTGATGGCCATGAAAAGGAGCTACTAGCTTTTCCTCAGATGAAGTTCAAAAGCCAAGAAGAATTGAGCAAATTAATAGATGGCACAAATTAGTAATAGATAATAATGGGGATTTATCATTGAAGAAAGTTGTTTCAGGTTCTGTGTCCCATGCTGTAGAAAGAGGCATATCATGTATAAAACTCTAGATTTTCTGTTCAAAATGATTGAAACAAAATGTATCACATAATGAACTAAGGTTTAGATACTTTATGAATTTGCTTGCATGAACAACTAATTCTCTAACAATGAGAGATAATTGTTCGCCAGTATCTCAGACCTGTTTTTCATAATTCTATATATTGAAAATATAAGTGTACTGCAGGGAAAACATCCCTATTAAAGGAAAAAATTTTTCTTCTGAGTAGCTAAATTCAGTCCATTACTATAACACAGTATTTATAAACTATTGGCAGTTTGCCCCCGTTTTGGTAGTATATTTACAGGAATATATTAATTTCAAAAAAATTAAAAGTGACAATAATTGTTTGCTTCATATGATATTATTTCTCCTAATCTTAAAATAATGGATTCCTCTGAGTCATTCTATATTCCTGTTTTTCTACTCACTTTCATATCATATTTAGCAGAATAGTTGAATAGTTTCTAGCTCTTGTACATTCTCTACAGTTTAAATATTTTTGTAGAGTATCTGGAGTGAGACATGAAACTCACACATAAAGTTATTATAGAATAATTCATGACTAGAATCAAATAATAAATTGTATTGCTTAAATGATAAATGTCATATAGGAATTCATAGATGGAAAAGATTGCCAGAGGCTGAAATTGAGACAAAATGGAATTGGATCTCATGTAGATACCAGTTATCCTTATCTTTCTCAGGGAAGTGTAGCTTTATAGTAGCCCTGCATCTCACTGTCACCTGTTTGCATAGCTCAGAAAGTTTCCAAGTTCTCTGTTGGAACAGTGAGAAGAATGTCAGTGACCATATTAAAGATGCAGTTACATATAAATATACATGGTAATTAAATATAATGTGCTAGGTTCTTTTGGTGATGTGTGTCTAAAAAATAACAGGGCATATTCATACCTACCAGAACTTGTATACAGCTGAATGATAACCTGAGTGATCATCCGGGTCATTGTCTGGGAGCCTATGCTCTCTTTCACGTAATACTGCCATTCCTATCTTTCTGAAACTACTCTTGAATTTTCTTCAGTCTGTGTGTGACTCATTCTTTTCAGTGCCCACAGTGATGACAAATCTTTTTCAGTTGATAATGGATTTGATTTTTGGAGCCTAAAGTCACTTAGGCCTAGGTATGATGAGTAAAGTGAAGATGAAATGTTATTTTTGGTTAAAGTTGACATGCTACAAGGAAATCAGAGCTTTTTTCACATGGCTCATAAATTAACCAAAGACAATGTTCTTCTTAAAACAAAGTAAGTTTGAAGTTTTTGTTACATTAAAACCAAGTCCTGCTCCAGAGTTGACTGGCTATCAGAGCCCCACCATCCCTCACTCCTCTAGTGTCCCTCCTTCTTTCTCCTACCTTGGTCAGGCCTCCTCCTGAAGGTCCTGCCCATTGCCCTGAGGCACCTTCTCTTCAAGGACTAGTCCCTGTCCCCACCCCCAAAAGGGAATTCCTTATCTTACTGAGACTTCTCTCTTTTCTGTTGGAAATCCCCCTAAAAAAACAATGGATGATCTCTCCAGGGAAAATGTACACTTGAGCATGCAGAAATTTGCACATGAAAAGCTTATTCTAGGATTCAAGTTAAGCACCTCCCACTATAGTCTGTACCACATATAATTGGGTTTAATTGTATAGAGTTGTGCATGGGTTCCAAAATGTTTATAGTTGCTCATCTTACCCTTCTAACTAATTTGTAAGTTTATCTTAAAGGCATGGAAATAGTACATCTTTGTTTTCTTTTCAGTACTTACCAAGAAGCTGAGTATATAATAGCATTCTGTAAATCATGTGGTTTAACAAATTCTTTAAAGCCACCTGCTTGCCATCATTGCTTTAATAGTCAGTTTTGAAGGAGATAAAATTTTAGATTTTTTTTATGTAAAAAGACAAAAGCCCTAGAGTTAAACTCTTTTATTTCTGAGCATCCCGTAAATCCTAAGACCACGTCCCTAAAATGAGCTTTTCAGGAGGTAATCTTCTTGACGTTTTGATGTATGAATGTATACAATAAAGTTTGGATGCCATAGGTCCTGTCAAAGGCAGAATGGATTTTATCCCCTGTATACATGTGACATAAGGCCTCATTCCTACTCTTTCCTAGAGAAAAATCAGTAAAGGATATGCTGGTGTTGTCCTCAGAAGCCACCTTAGCCTAACTAAATCATTATAGCCAGACTGTATCTTTTAGTCCAGTGGTTCATTGTCAAACTATAACATACAGTGAAAATTTGACTAGCACTTCACTTTCAATTTTACCAAGCCCATTATCAGAATTTACACAGCACTATTTATATCAGGTTTGAAAATATTTTAAATCTTAACTTTGTGAAAATGGTTGTGATAGGAGCATTTTAGATATTTTTCCCATTAAACAGATGGTTATATTTGTAAGCCTTTGGTAAAATGCAGGTCAATGGTTAATTTGACCTGTATTCATCTTGTGACATTCTTGGGTGCTCTCTAAGGTATTCATGATCAGTTTGGCTGGCTAGGAGGTGAGAGATTAGAGTGAAAATGTCTGTAATCTATCTTGACAGTCTGTTGGTAGATTTGTCTTTCTGCCTATTTTTTAAAAAAACACATTTCATCATTTGCTCTTTATTACAAACAGGTTTTTATTATTATTACTATTTCATTGCAAGTTTCTTGAGTTTACACCAAGATGTGACTTTGTGGTTCTCTGTTTTAATTTTTGAGCCATATTTCAAAGAAGATGTGAAGAATTCATTGAAATATGGTAAAGCTTAATAGACTTCAAGCTACTGTAGGTAATTGTACTACATTCATATTTTCTTTTTTTTCTATACCCAGCTAAAAAATCTAAGTTTAGAGGAACTACAGATGCGATTAAAAGCGCTGGACCCCATGATGGAACGAGAAATAGAAGAACTTCGTCAAAGATACACAGCAAAAAGACAACCCATTCTGGATGCGATGGATGCAAAGAAAAGAAGGCAGCAAAACTTTTGAATCTAATTTCTGTAACTATTCTGGAAACCAAGAAACCACTAAGAACTAAAGGAATATTATGTGTTGTTTTAATCCCTAAAGATTTGTGCTTTACAACTACACAACAGCCAAAAAAACTAAGGATGGTACATACCCAGGTTAATTGCCACAAGACAGAATTCACAACTGTATCCATTGTGGTTTTTTTTTTTTTAATTATAGAAATAACAAAAATGTAATATGTATGTCTGTTAACTGCATGCTTGCCTTAAGGCTGTTGTAAAGCAAAGGCTGTGTGTATAGAGATCTTGAAAATCTAAAGCTGTTGTTTAATTGTACAGCACTGAAGGGTTTTATGTCCCAATAGTCTCTGTTCTTACCTAATAGCCTATTTATTGTATCTCTTTAGGTAAATTTATTTATTTATGCAATGCTATTTCACTTTGTTTTGTTTTTTAAGGACAAGATCAGGATAACATGGTAAAGGTAAGAAGTGATTAATAGATGATAATGAACAATCAAATTATATTTTAAGAAGAGAACAGTGGGATACAATCCTTGATTTCCAGGATAGTTTACCAATAGAAACAAAGCAATAATAGCTATAGTACCCAAATGGTCAGACATTTTTTTTGTACTGAAGCAATAATTCCATTTTTACCTTCTGAAATCTTAATTTTTTTATGTTTGATACAAATAGAACTATATATTTAGGTCAGAAAGAGATATAATATTTGAAACCAAAGAAATCAATGAAACTCTTGCACAAAAATATGTGGTAAATATTTTAAAAGAAATAAATCCTTAAGACAAATATAATTTGTTAATATTGTTTCATGTGTAGGTCTGATAGTTAAACTGTCTCTAACTGTAATAAGCTCATCAAACTTATTTCTCTGAAAATGTGCTCAATTGTCACAGGACTTTTTTGTTGCTTTCATTTATTTCCTGGGAATTGGTAAACATCATGTGCCTGACGATAAAGAAATAGAAAATACATTTGTACTGAACTGTGTAAGCCTTAGAGACTGAAAAAAAAAATTAAAACCATTAAAAAGAAACTCATTTCTAAACTGAACGAACATTTGTATGATTGAACTGGGACCAGTCATTTCCTGAGCTACATATGGCCATCTTGACAGTGTTTGTTCTTTTGTGTGTTTAATTACTACATGTAAATCATAAAGACAATAAATTTTACTGTGTCATCCAGCATATTTCATCTCTACATCTTGTTTTACAATTCATGACCTGAATTCTGTCTTTTCTAGGCGAGGAAAGTATATTCATCAGGACAGACTAGATTATGCAGTGATAGCAACCTTGAAACTTCAGAAGCTCAACACAACCAGGTTATTTCATGCTTGAGCTCCATATCCAACCTGGGTTGGCAAGGCACCCTGCTCCTGCCATGTACACCCAGTGATCCTCTGATAGAGCCTCCTTCCACCACCTGCAACCTTGGTGGTCACCACAACAAGCGATGAGTGCTGCAAGTTGTACACTAGTGCCAGCCAGCAAGTGACATGGCCTGCCAACCACAAGTATTCCTTCTTAACTTCAAGTTTCAGGGAGATACAGCCATTACCAGTGTGCCTGGAAGGAAAGAAGGGTAATGCTGGTGAATTCACTGATGACTGCCATGGAAGGTATGCCATCACTGGAAAACTTTGATTTCTTTTTAAAGGCATTTGTACCCCAGGTAGTACCTTGGAGTAGCATTAATTAGTATTAGTCCCTGCTCTGTCTAGTCTTTACAAGTAGTAAATTCTGTCATTGGATGCAAAATAGTAAATATAGAGTCAATATGGGAAACTGTTAAAGGCTTTAAAATGAAGACCAAACTTATAATAATTCTTCAGCTACATCTCCATTGAAGTTCACTTGGGACAGTCAAATGGACCAATCACGCTAACCTTTTTATTTTTTTTTCCCACTCTTAATTGTTTTTCTTTTCAGTAACCTGTTTAATAGCTTATCTAATATGGTGAAATCAGATGACTGATTTGGTGTCATCCAAACAAAACCATCAGTGTGAAATGACAAGAAACCTTTAAAGACTATGTTTCCCCAGTTGGCTAGGTTCTCTTGCAAACTAGTTCAGTGGTGCCTGTTAACCACTCTTTTTTTTTTTTTTTTTTTTTAAGATTTATTTATTCATACAGACTGAGGTACAGGCCGGAGTTGGAGGGGCAGTGAGAGGATTCACCAGAGACAGAGTGGAGGGCAGAACAGGCAGATCAATGAAGTACATGCTGAGGGGAGCAGCAAGTGGGTCAGGAGAGGTCTACCGCACCACGTGGGTCACCTCCGGGACAGGCAGGGATCGAACTCATGCGGAAGTGGCTTTTGATTCTTAGTGCTGTGCTTTAACCTGCTGCGCCACCAGGGTGCCTGTTAACCACTCTTACTAAGTCTCTACCATAGTCTTAGCATTTTAACAGAAGATATCTAATGTTATAATGTGATACAAGTCACATTGCAATTTTTATGTAAAGCAGACTTTACTCCCTATTGTTGCATGTATTTCTATTTAAATATGGGTGAATACACATATACACATATCTGTATTTAGAAACAATGGGCATTGTTTTATTTAAAAGCCATAGGACGCACCACAACAGTTTATTTAGGATTATTTGTTTTTGTTTTTAAATTTCTCCTTTCTTCTTACTCTCTGACTCCTACTAATCAAAAAAAAAAAAGAACTTTTGGTAAATTTTGAAGAATCAAAAGCTGTGAAAGAGATCTTCAAGTCTAGTTAATCATGATGCCTAAAGAGAATTTTCTAGTTATTTTAATGCGTTTAAGAAACCTCTTATTATTTTAACCTTGGTTGCTGAGAACGTTCCAAAAATAGGTAAGTGTTCTTTCTGCACACCCCCGTCCCTTAATAAATAGAGTATTGTAAATGTAATTGAATCTAATGAGTGAGGTTTTCATCTTGCTGAAAAGTGAGCATTGTCGGATATGTTGTCCAGTAGATAAGAAGGTTTTTTCTTTAATTTAATGAACTTAAATGACTCATTTCTAGAGACTTAACAATGTACTTACACACTGACTTTAGCATGAAGTTTTATGTTTGAAATATGAGCTAATTTGGTCAATATAAATTGGAGAAGAAAATATTGAACAGATTTCGAAATAATAGGACCTATTTGATACACTGTGTCAGATACATGCTGAACAACCGTACATATATTACTAAGTACTTTTTTTTTTAAAGATTTATTTATTCATACAGAACTGGGGTATAGGCCAGAGATGCGGAGGGTGAGAGGATTCACCAGAGACAGAGCGGGGAGCAGAACAGGCAGATGGATGAAGTACAC